GCTATGGCACGGCGCGGCGCAGCAGCAAAAGTGCAGCTGAAAGGTGCAAAGTTGTATTGCTATAGTGATGTTGAAAATCTGATCGCTCGTGTTGACAGAGAGTGTGTTGTGAAACTGAGCTGAGTGTAAGCTTGTTGTCATGTGTGGTCATGCATCTCGAATTAGAGTGGAGAACTCCAGGGAACAAGCGTGAGTTCTGCTGATGAAAAGGTAACGGCATCGATCTAAAAATGCAACATGTGGAAAAACAGCGTGCGTGACTGATCAGAAAACTGGTGGAAGAGAAAGCTGCCGTGTTAAGGCCCGGCGGCCAATGTATCAGTGGATTCGATGGATGTGTCAATGACTTCCAGTGGAAATCCGGTGAAAGGTGGCATGTTGGGGTGGGTGATTTCCTATGCAAGAACGGCGCCCCTGTGACGGGGATCACACTCAGCACCCGAGTGGGACGGCTGAGCGAAACACACTCTGACACTTGTATTCAGTTAACTCAATTTCCCGATGGGAAGGGCGGTGGAACAGCATGGCGAAAAGTCCGAGAAATTGTAGGTGTTTGAACAATGGTTGTTTCCCTTGATTGCGGTGACGGAAGCGGCGCAACTCAGCTGCAAAAGTGGCTGTGGGAAAAAACCTGTTTTTTGGGAAAAGTATCGTGTGAAACCACCATGAATCAAATTGGAAGTGGAAAAGCTTGAGCAACAGTTGTGGTGCAGGTACGTCATCAGGCGTCCCTGATGATATCCTAGGAGCACGTGAGGAGCTTCGTTGGATGGAGCCTCACGTGTCCTCTCCATCCCCCTGCTTGTGGATCCGTGGTGAAACGAGTGGTAGTTGAATCGGTGGAAATTACCCTTTGTCCAGGGGTGGACACACACACACACACTTGGGACTCACGCCGAAACATCCAGAATCCAAACTTTCTTTGCAAACATTGCAAGACATGGGTTGATTGTGGTTTGGCCAAAGTCAACATGCACAATCTGAGGATTGCTTTACCAAATGCTATGCTGAGGCTAGCCCTTTCTTGAAATGGCCATGTCGGACAGCCTAGCCAAGCAGAAGGGTCCGTCACTTTTTTGAATGCTGCGGCGGCTTGGTTTGGCACAAGCCCTCAAAAGTTCTTCACATGTCCAAGTACATGAACAGCCCTTGTTTACTAGCATAGCCAACACCGACGTTTCAAGCCTGGTTATTCTTCCTGACCCCCGTGACACATAATGAGTGCCCAGACACAGTTTGCCACATAATACATCCTGATTGACGATGCACAGATCTTCATGCACGGGCATAACTGACTCCTTCCACGCCACATACACCAGCGTCCTTAGTTTTGAAAAGGAAACCATAGTTCATGGCTGGCCACCTCTTACTTCCAATGCCCCCAGATTGAGATATTCGGAAGAACCTGTGCACCGTGCCCTGACCAGAGGCTCCGAGCAACGGTGAGCCTCTTCGCTCTGACCCCTGTTCTGGCACAGTTCAGCACCGCCACCCAGAAGCCTTCTCAGGACACGTTACTGTAGTTGGTGGGAGCGTCTATTCTCTCTGAATCCTCTCTTGGCCTCAAATCTCCTACAGCATTCACTCGTGGAAGCAGCGTTGCATATCCTTTGGAGCTTTAGAGTCTGAGCCATGAATGAGAGGCTTTCCTCCACAAGTGAGGCAGTTTGCTTGCCATCTTGGCGAGTCCTTAGCAGCTTTCAAGAAAGGGGAGAAGAACAGGGGAAGAATGTCACAAGGTCACCCCCTAAATTATTGGACGCATCCCACATTGGAAGAAACATACGCGTTTGAAATCAGATTAGAAACTCGGTAGATAAAATGGATGATATATGCCTGGAACCTGACATCCCACAGCTTTGTAGGCTCCCTTGTCGTCCTGTCATAGCTTGTCGCCATTGATCTTCCGCAATCACAGGACATGTTGTCGATGATGTGCGCGTGGATCTCAGCTGTGGCTTTTCGCGTGGTTGTTTGTTGTCTTAGCCAGTGGACTTAAATGTGGGGGGTTTCCACATGGTTCCCCCTCCTCCACCGACAAAAGCTGCTGCTTGATGTTGTCTTCTCATTTGGCTTCAAGGCACAGCCTGGTTAGGGCTTCAGTGCTAACTTGTGCTACAATACAAGTTGACCAAGTTTGTGTGTGGAGGCTGACCAAGAGGTTCCTTTCTTGAAACGCGTCTGCTTTCGGTTTGGTGACTCGAAACGTTTCGCTGTCGGGCTGAGGACACCGTGCCTGTCCCTGGCTTGTGCAAGCAGAGTCCCGGCCAGGCTGGGCACTGAAGCCGCGTGTTTTCGGGGAATGTTGGTGCACAAGGACCATAGATGTTAAGTTTCCTGCAGAAGTCGTGTGTTTAACGGGTGAAAATTGCATGCTAGTTGTATGATGTTGAATGTACTCGTAGCGATCAACCTGAGAGACTTTTGCAACACAAAGTAAACACGATGGAAACTGCAAGATCACCACATAACTTATAGATTATTCTGCAAAAAACAGTTTGGTCTAAAGCGGTCCAAGTGTCAAGCCCGATCCCAGTCTAGCGGAACTGGTCTGAACAGCCTGGAGTGCAAGAAGAATCCGAGTGCCTGCTGCACTGCATCTTGGCAAGCAATGGTTTGTAGTAAGACACATAGACAAACATTCGTGAATACAAGTTGATTCGATCGCCCAAAAGGTTGCCACCGTTGACACGGGCATATGAGAATTTCGAGGTTTCTCTCACGAACGTTTCTTTTGGGACTTTTCCAAAGTGTTCAATCAAAGTCAAAATCATGTCATGCGTTAACCAACGAGGGTTTGAGATTTGCAATCAGATGGATGACCCTAATCAGCCTGAGTGTGGAGTTGCAAAGATGCAGCTTTAGAAACATTGAACCCGTGAACCAATGGCGTGTGCTTGAATGAACGTCCGAGGCAGCTGTTAAGAAGTGCAGCAGCACCGACCCGTTCTCTGTCTTCGCTGGAGGCGCGACATGTGGTGTGTGTGGAACCAGACTCTACCCTGCCTTTTTGACTTTTCCAACTATATAGCTCTATTGACTCGGAGCCACTGGCAGCTGGATGACCGCTACACCTTGTTTGAGACAGGCAGTTTTTGAAGGAGCTACTGCAGGGCTACTTCCACCCCTGGCCTTTGGGCGATGCGTTACTGTAGGTAGACAAATTCTTCAACTCTTCCAGACAAGAGGTTGGCGTGAGTGGATGACTTAAATCAAGCTGCTGACAACCAAAGTCCCTATCCTATCCTGGCGAGCAGGCATGTGGTTTAGGGGATGACAATTTTGTCCAACTCTAGTGCGCCACAGGGCCGTTGAACTAACACCACAAGGTTTTGGAGGCTTTGACCCGATGCCACCCCGGAACATGGTCACTGCCACCCGCCTCGTGACCGCACCCGAGGAGGTGTCGCGTTCGGCACATCCCTACGAAGCGTTCGGCACATCCACTGGGTAGTAGCCTCCTTGCTCCTAGTAGTAAGGCCCGGAGCTACTAGTAGCGTCCTTGCTCCTAGTAGGGTTGAGTCCGGTTTAGTCACTTTCCAGTTTAGATCCGAGAGTTGCCCGACTGATTGATGCCAGGAGTTTGCCCCAAGTCCATGGGCAAATCCCAGCACCTTACCGGCAACAGGGTTTAGGATTCAGGGCGGTTGAATTGTACCGTGGGAGCATCGAATCCCACTGCGATGATAATTCCACTAAAGTATCCTCTTTTTGTATATTGTTCCAGGTCAAGACTTTCAGAAGACTTCGCCTTATACTCACTGCCCAACATCGTTGTTCACTGTTCCGTAGCCGATGCTTCACCTGATTCGCAAGCAAAACTTCATCCTGGGAAGTCTGATCCATGCCGTTCTTTGACAAACATGTGTTTATTTCTCGTGAAAGGGGAGCAAATCTTGATGAGAGACCTGGAATGTCAAGATTGTAACCTACTGGAACTCTTGGGGTGTAGTTAACACCCATGTCCTTATTCTCATCTTCAGTTGAAGTGTACAATATAGGATCTACCCTGCTGATACCTGCACCGAGGTGTGTCGGCTCTGCTGCTTGGATAATTTTGGAAGATTTGGAAGCAAATGCAGAGTGATTCAGCCATAAAGCCACCGATTTCTTTGCAGAAGACAGTCTTGTTCATGTTCGAAGGTCTTTGAAGGTTGTAGATCATTTCCTGTGAGCTTCCAACAGCTCCTATTGTGGCGATTGGACGGAACTGATACGGTTTGAAGCTCGTGCCCTCCTGACTCCCGAATCCCAGTTTTTCAATTCTGGATTCTGCATGCAGGTTGGCTTTGCCCGTTTGGCCCAGATAGAGATCCAAAGATTCTTTTTGCATGTGTGTATGTAATATATATATATATATAATTGCAGTATCTCCAAGGTCCAAGGTTTCTTTCTTGCTTCAAAACGACCTGGCACTGCCTTCAACTTTTTTCACTGAGGAGCTTGGAGCATTCAACACATTTCAAGCAAACACACACACTGTTTCGATAGGTTTCCTGCACTAGCTGAGGATGAGAGAAGTAGTATCATTAGGCCAGATTGCCCCATGGATAAGGCGGACAGCAGGTGGACCCTGTGTTTACGGAGTATTTGTGTGATTCCTGACGCATGGGCTAAGGAGATGCTCTCCCCAACCATGGTGGGCGTTTGCATGTGCACTGACCCTGGCACCATTTGCTCCGGCAGCGTGCCTTGGATGAATACACACAAGGCCGTTCACTACCCTGCGTGGGCCATGAAAGACAACAGTGCTGATGAAACTTTGGAATGGTGTTGATGTGTCCCTTAAAATCCCTGCTGAATTGTCCAACGTGGAGCTAGTTGACATGTGTACCGTGACGCCCCGTGACGCTGCTGCTGTCGGCAAAGTTTTGATGCACACACAGATGTAGATAGTCTATGCCTTTCTTTGGAAGTGTAGCCTGCGTAGAGTAGCCATTCCACAACACTTGGGGCCTAGACATGCCTCCCCTCCCGCCCCTCCCTGACATTTTCTCTCTACTGAGGGTGACAGCCCGGTGTGCCCTGACTGCAAGGATCAGGATGATCCAAGGATGGGGAGGGAGGTCGGGAAAGTGATATACGGATGAAAGGCGGATGAGCCTTCTCTAGCTGAAGCAGCCTTCTCAGCTTGGAGTTCAATTAAACATATTTAAACCCCTTCGCAGCGACTCCGCAGTGACGACCGGCTTTGCAGGTCCAGGCCTGCTTTGAGCGGTTTCGCACCCTGCCGTGAGGTGCACCAGTTCGGCCTCCGCAATCACTGCAGCAGCAACCAAGTCTGCAGTGCCTTGGGCAACACCAGCCCGAAGGTCGCCTCTGTTGTCGTCTTGAATTGAAGACACATCGAATGGTTTCTGTGGGTGTTTGCGTGCCAATTATGCAGATCTCTCCACCTGGGACCTGCTAGCTTGGTGTTAGCAAAGTGTCAAGACATGGCTTTTGAACCTATACACATAGCCCATGCATTTGCCGTGGCGCACCGTGACACTTTCGCTTTGGGGGAGCTTGCCAACCAAGTCCGGGTTCAACTTTCAAGAGTTCAAGCAGTACTCTGTGCTTAAACACCCCAAATACTAATACGCTTTTTTGTTTGTTTCTTCTCGCTGGGGTTTATGTTACAACTACTGTAGTCCATTCCATTCCAAGGTGGCTGCAGGCTTTAGCCGCCTCTACGAGGAGGAGCCAGCAGAGGACAGAGTCCTGAGATTCAATCTTCTTCTGGATGACTTTGTTGGGCCCTGTTGAGCAGTGTTGAGCCCTTCTACCCTCCCCCCACACCCATTCCTACCTTGAACCCCTCAACACGTCAAAGCCTTTCAACACTTTAGGCTGATACTTTGGGGAAACATCTCATGACGTTGCATGCAGTCACACTAGAGGCTAAAGGCGCCAGCAACGAAGTTTTGCTTATTGTTTGAAGAGCTTGGAAGGCTTTTTGTTTGATGTATCTGGTGGGCTACAAGATTTCTAGTCACTACCATGTGACCACCTCTTTAGGGCGAAGGACCCAAGAATTCACCAAAACACGACGTTCAACTCATGTACTCTCGAAGGCGCCCTGGTTCAAGTTGTAAACTGGAGCCACAGCCTGTTTCGGCATGGAGCTTGCGGAGCTTGGAAATCTCAGGTGCACCATGCAGCCAGAAGCATTCAATGACCCTGAGATGCCCTCATGGCACGAAGAACGTCATATCGAGGACGAGTTTGATGGACTGGGCCCTGTGGAAGAATCCTTTCTTTTGGATTCATTTATGGAGGTAGGGGTGGAATCTCAGGATTCAGAAGATGCCGATGCCATCTCACCTCAGAAGAGTATGTTTTTTCAGTGTAGCAAGCGCCGCCTACAGAAGGTCATGCAAGACAATCAGCTCCGTGACTTCCTGCAGCGGCATGGCTTGGGCGGTCTCACCAACTCCCGACGTTTTGGCTGCGACGATTTGAATCCGATCCATTTGGCTGCTCGAGAAGGAGATCACCAAGTTCTCCGTTCACTGCTTCGGATCGGTACGAACTTGCAGCAGAAGACACCGCTGGGACAGACAGCTTTGGAGATCGCAAAGCGAGCGAACCGGAATGGGTCCCATGATCTTGTCATTGAAATACTTCGCAAAACAAAAGTCTTTCAAAGTCCGCAGATGTTCATTTTGGGCATCTGAGTGACCGCGATGCCACCCCATGGGCCCATGTTCCCAGGCGCTGAGCGGCAGGATGTATTTTTGTTGGTTTGTTGGGTTGCGATGCTTGATTGCGGCCCGCCCCATCCTTCGACAAACTTCTTGTAGCGGCTTACAACCATTTTCCAGGGTGACGACATGAGGTTGTTCCCCTTGGAAGTCGCTGGCCTTTCGGTGGTCCAGGCGAGTTTGCAATTGCTGATGAAAGGAAAAGACCGTCGCTCTGCTGTGAACAAGGAACCTACCCAACAGACAGGATTGCATGGGTGCTGTCACCATGTCGTCCCTTCCAATCAAAATGAAAGGTCTGTTTTTGGAGGGGACTTGAGGGTGCTTGTTCCAAGCCACGAGCACTGGCTTGAGCTGATTTGCACAGGAGGTGTTGAACATTGGAGGTTGGGTCAGCGCCGCTGCCATTGCAGGCCAGGGCCAACTCCGCTTGGGAAGGAATTCAGGGACAAGATTTGAGGTTTGACATTTTAAGCAGCTGTGGTAGGCTAAGTAATTAGTGGGTCTAGAGTCTAGAGTGTGAAGCGCACTGAAGTCAAGAGGACCAGACTTTACACTGTGATACCTTCCAGCCGCAATGAGGAATGTGGAATGCATTTTTCCCATTCGCAGTTTGCTTGATGCACGGCGATTTGTCTTCTTCTCACCGCATTTTTTCTCTGGCTGATGCTGATGCAGTGCATTCTGATGAGATTACCGATTTCTTGATGATGCCACTTTATGGTGTCGCCCCCTTTAAGATGCTCAGTTTTGAATATTCAGACTGTTGTACTTGCTATTGTTCTGGGTGACGGCTTTTGTTATATTTCATTGCTTGAAAGATACCTCTGTGAAACCATTATGTAGAGTTTACCTCTTTCTGGATTTCTTTGTGGTTCTTTCTGGTGGAAGACGTGGCTGGGGTCCGTCTACCTTTGTTACTACCTTGAAGGTGCCTTGCACATGTCTTCTACCGGGCTCTGGTGGCGGGAAAGACGAAGTCAAGGGGATTGGATGTTTGCTGCGGTACCCTTTTTGGATATGTAATATCGGTGATAGGAGATTGAGAAGTGTTGGGAGAGCACTCGGGCATTGACTCACATCCTGGAGAGTCTTGAAAACCAGCAGCTGTCAATGCAGTTGCTTGAATTTCAAGGAATCAAGCCATGAATAGCTGCACCTGCAGTCAAGGACGTGTCGTTTTTCAGGATGCTTCGCACAAGAAGCTCAGGCCAAAATAAACGGGAAGGACATGGCAACGGTAAAGGAGACGATAATTCAATAGGTGCAAAAGACTCAAAAGACTGGTTTCATGTCTCTTACTACTAGTAGCAAGAAGCTACTAGGGGCTCCTGGCCTTACTACTAGGAGCAAGGACGCTACTAGGGGCTCCTGGCATCGCTACTAGGAGCATTCTTACTAGTAAAGCTTCTGTCTCCAGGTTCTTTAAGGAAGCTTCCTCCTTAGAACGAACCGAATTGCCCTTGAAGAACCTGTGGTGGAAACGTACCTTTAACCGTTACTACAGTACTGTACTCGCCTTTCTGGCCTTTAACCTGTTCTTCCCTCTCTTCAAAGCTACCCCCCCGCCTGGATTCGATTTTTCAATTTGCTTCTGGGCAGGAGACCTGCGCCAACCGTTTAAATTCACTCGTGCAAAGTAAAAGGAGGCCGCACGATCCAAAGCAGGCCTTGTCAGCACACAGCGGCGAATCGCTGTCGTTGCAAAAGTGGCAGACTAGGCAAAAGTTGAGTTGCGGGCATGGCCTAGCTAGCAATTGCATGCTGAAAGGTCAGGTGTGTGCGCCACTCAGACAGGCATATCTTCCTGATTGGAACCACAACAGGGCGTTGATGACTTACTTTCAAGAAAGCTCTGCTAAGCCTTCTGCCCGGGTCCTGGCAGGCTCAAATGCGATCAAAAGCTTGTCACACATCGCCTGTGGCCACATATGGCCTGAGCGAAAAATATCATCCTGAAGCAACCTCGTCGCCTTTATCTACTGTGCGGCTGCATGTTGTTTGCGGCTGTACCTCCCCTCGATCAGTGGATTGCTACAGGAGAGATTTGCAAATCCTACAACAGAGAAGGTAACAGCCTTGCGCCAACCACAGCGTACAAGCTCCATGCCCATTGCATTATCAAGGAGTGTGCCCGAAGCACGCTAGCAACGTCAAAACTGCTGAGCAGTTCTTGCTGAAACATGGCGTGAAGACGCAGACGAAAGTCCTCAGGTGTTTGCCGGATGAGCTTCCGACGAAAGGCCGCGGAGGAAGAAGTCAGTCTTTGAATATCCTCACAGTCACAACTTCACATCGCCACTTCACGCACGAGCCCGTCGATGCATGAAGAGTGAAGTATATATATATATATATTGTATATATATATATATATTAAAGAGACGCTGCTCCGCCACACAAGCAAATACCCTTTAGCCAGGCACATTTCTGCATTTTCAAAGGCTGACTGCTGACTTGAACAAAAAGAGTCATGAACAATGTACTCGTATGATATTCTTCTACATAGGACGGACACGCGCACACCCGATGTCCCACCATGACACTTGCTGGAGTCCGCTCCGCTCATTGTGGGCCTATTCCCCCGAAAATACAGCTAATCAGAGCCCCTAGTAGCGTCCTTGCTCCTAGTAGTATGGCCAGGAGCCCCTAGTAAGCTTCCTTGCTCCTAGTAGTGAGGCCAGGAGCCCCTAGTAGCTTCC